GGAGTCCTGAGTGTTGTGGTCCTGAGGTGCTGGATTTGGTGAAGATAGGAGGGAATGTTTGTGGTTACTCACTCTGAATTTCCTGCTGGGCATATGAAATGAAGGATTCCCAGGCTCTCCAGGTTCTGATGGAGTAGGGCCAGATGTGAAGGACTCTGCTTTTTAAGTTTCCAGGTGATCCCCATGGTCATGCAGGTTTAAGAGCTATGGGCTTGGGGCTGGAGAGATGTCTCAGCCATTAAGAGCACTTCCTGCTCATTGCCAGAGCTTTATCACCCAGGGAAAGCTGGCGCTGGACTCAGAGAGTCATGGTTCTCCATAGGCTCCCCTAAGCCTGCCATGGACCCACAGCAGGAATATGATGGTCACTGCTGTGGACTTAGTGAAGCACTTCTCAGATTGGAAAGAGCCACCTAGCCCAGGGGTATGGGTGAAGGCTCTGGTGAGTGGTGCCAGTGATCCTCTGGGATTTGACCACAGATCTGACTCAGACAACTTCAGAGTGGCCCCAAGTGTTTAGGTGCCCAGCAGCCCCATGGTGCTACCGAAGGGGACTTAGACATGGGTGGGACAAGATTGAAACTATGGGCTGAAAATCCAAAATACATTTTTAAAAATAGACAGGCTGTGGGGGCAAGTATGAAGTGGCTCAGATAGTGTAGGTGCTTGCTGAAGAAGCTTAGTGTCTTAGCTAGGGATGCTATTGCTGTGAAGAGACACCATGACCATGACAACTCTTATAAAGGAAACATTTCATTGGGTTGGCTCTCTTACAATCTCAGAGGCTCAGTCCATTATCATCATGGCAGGCAGCATGGCAGTGTGTAGGTAGACATGGTGCTGGAGAAGTAGCTGAGAGTGTTGCAGGCCACAGGAAGTCAACTGAGACACTGGGCAGCCCTGAGCATAGGAAACCTCAAAGCCCACCCCCACTGTGACATACTTCCTCTAACAAGGCCATGCCCACTCCAACAAAGCCACACCTCCTAATAGTGCCACTCCCTATGAGGTTACGGGGGCAGTTACATTCCAACTACCACAGGTGCGGACCTTAGTCTTGACAGCCAGAAGTTTCATAATAGTAGCTAACCTCTACATATGCACCATGGCAACCTCATCCAACACACACACACACACACACACACACACACACACACACACTCCTATTTTAAATGAAACAACAATAAACAAATCCCTGGAGTTTTGATTCACACCAAAAGAAAGGTTTACCTATGGGAAGTCCCTCAGGGGACAACCCCAGAGGTGAAAATCAAGGATCCAGTGATGTGTACGTCTCTTCATGGATCACATCTTCTAGCGGCTATTCCATTTATAGTTCATAACCAGACTTAATTCCTGCCTGTAAAATTGTAAGGAAGGATGCTTCGGTCAAACTCTAATCTGTGTGTCAGTGAAGAAAGACCTAGAGCTTCCAAATCAGCCTGCTTGTCTAGCTTATCACCTGGGTGACAGGTGTCATCAGTATAAGCAGTTCTTATCCTGAATAAATGGGAGTGCGTGTGTGTATAAACACTGTTGATGCTTTCTTATTGAGTCACCATACCAACACCGAGTTCTGTAGAGAATTCCTGGAAGCAGCTGGCCTTTGTACCTAGATACATCAATTGCTTTTCTACATTGTCTACAAGATAATAGGCATCATAGAACATTGTGTTTGAGAACTTTGCAGTAAGTTCTGTCCACATTCAAGGACTGAGGCAGCTCCTTGGGGTGACCCTTTCTGGAGCTCTGGATCTGCTGTACCCTGCTTAGCATCATGTCCTTCCCACAGCACATGGCTCTGCTGTCAAAATGGCTCGTTTGCAGGCATCCTGTGGGCGGGCACACAAGAGCAAGCAGTGTTTTTAGGGGATGGCCAAGTTACAGAATGGACCTGTTTCCCCCACCCCCAAGCAAAGGAAGAATATGCCGTGTGGTATTCCTGAAGATGGGCCATGGGCGGCTTGGTGGGCTTCAGGCTCCAAGTCTAGGAGTCTGAGAGTTGAGCTTGGAGTGCACTGCACTGGGGCATCTTTGCAGTTGAGGGTCCTGGGTCAAAACCAGGCTTTGATTCAGTATGTCATTCTAACTCAGAGTTCAGTTTGCAAACTCTGATGATGACATCCACATCCCCAAAAGGATGGTTTCACCACAAGGACGTTTGATTGCTGCCTGCCCATGTGTTTTTATAAATTCATTTATTTAACCATTGTTTATAAGACATCTACGCTCCCTAATTTGAGCTGCGTGTGGACTTGTAACTGAACAAGAGTGATGTGCTTTTTGGTGTTTTGTTTTTCCCCCTCAATGAAAAAGAGGGAAACAAATGGCTAATACTCAGGGACTTACTATAAAGGAGCTGTAGGGTCTTACAATGAAGTACAATGGAGGAAAGAACACAAGTATTTAAAATAGAAAGACAGAGAAGGCCTTTCGATGAGTCTGTATTTAAACTAAAACCTGGATTAAAAGGAATCAAACATATGAAGAACATGCCAGGCAATCTAGAAATGTTATGCAAGGACACCCGGGGTTAGGGCTAACCTTGATGTAGTTCAAGAGCAGCCAGAGAGCTGGTGTCCTGCAAAACACAGGAGGGAAGGTATGAGGTTAGACAGGCAGACAGCAGATTATATTCACAGGCCCTGGAGGTTGACACGTTGTGAAAGGGATAGGTTATCAGGCTTAATTGGAATTAGAAGTGTGGAGTTGAGAGGAAAAGACTTCTTTGGAACATGAATCTGTGAGTTATCAGCATTGTGATGGGAAGCCCCAGGAGCAGGTTATACATGTTTATTTATAGCAACATTGTTACAAGATTTTTTTTTAAGATTTTATTTATTTAATATGTATACAACACTCTGCTACCATGTATAACTGCACACCAGAAGAGGGCACCAGATCTCACTATAGATGGTTGTGAGCCACCATGTGGCTCACATGAACTCAGGACCTCTGGAAGAGCAGTCAGTGCTCTTAACCTCTGAGCCATCTCTCCAGCCCCAGGAGCAGGCAGCCTTAACCAGGAAGAGGTTGTAGAGACACCAGGGTCCCCGGGAAAGACCAATCAGAAGCTGATGGACGTGGGAGGATATTTGTACCCTGTGTGAAGATGCTTTGCTGTGGTTAGTTTAATAAGAAGATGAACAGTCAATAGCTAGGCAGAAGGTAGAGGTGGAATTTCCTGGGAGAGAAAGGAAGAGGTGGAGGAATCTAGGCATTCGGGAGATGCCAGGAAACATGGAAAGGAAACCGGAGGTACAAGGAGAGGTAACACCACATGATAGAACACAGATTAATATAAATGGTTTAATTTAAGTTATAAGAGCTAGTGAGACAAGCCTAAGCTATAGGCTGAGCTTTCATAGTAGACTTTCAGAAGTCTCTATGTCATTATTTGGGAATTGGCTGGCAGGGCAGAAAAAGATTCATTACAGGGAGGGTGGGAGGCAAACCAGAAGGAAGTAGACCTGTGGAAGCCAGGGAGGTGAACTGTCGGAGGGAGATGGTTGATGATGTCATTGTTGATGCAAGATCTAGAATTTCACTGTCCAGTATATGAGTCACTAGTTACACGTGCTGGTTAGTTGTTTAGTTTTGTGCTTATTAAACTTTTTTTTGTCAACTTGACACAAACAAGAGTCATCCTGGGGGAAAAAAGAACCTTAATTGAGAAAATGCCTCCATCAGATTGGCCTGCTGCAAGTCTGATTAATTAATTAATGATTGATGAGAGAGTGCCCACTGTGGGTGGTGTCACCCCTGGACAGGTGGGGCTGGGAACATGAAACGCAGCTCCATTTGAGCCTGGAGAGCAAGCCAGTAAACAGCTTTCTTTTATGGTTTCTGCTTCAGTCCTTGGTGTTACTCAGATTCCTGCTTTAGCTCTTGCTCTGGTTTACTCGATGATATACTATGACATGGAAATGTGAGCCAAATAAGCTATTTCCTACCCAAGTTGTTGTTTTTTGGGGGGAGGAGGGGTGTTCAAGGCAGGGTTTCTCTGTGTAACAGCTCCAGCTGTCTTGGAACTCACTCTGGAGACCAGGCTGACCTCACAGAGATCTGCCTGCCTCTGCCTCCTGAGTGCTGGGATTAAAGGCATGCGCCACCACTGTCTTGCTCCCAAGTTGTTTTTGATCATGGTGTTTATCTCAGCAATAGAAAGCAAAACTTGTGGCCTCTAAGTACTTGAAATGTGGCCACTTCAAACAGATGCTCTGGAAATGTAAAATAAAATGCATGCTGGATTTTGAAGACAGCACAAAAGCAAGAATGGAAAATATTTCATCAGTAATTTATCAGTAATGTTATGTTGTAATCACAATGTTTGGGATTAATTGGGTTAAATAAAAGATACCACTAAATTTATCTTGCTTCCTTTTACTCTGTGAAGCACTAGAAAGTTGTAAATTCCGTGTGCGGCTTGCACTGTGCTTCTGTTGGAGTGCTCTGCAACATGGAAGTCATTAGCAAACTCAAGAAGAGTAGACTGGCTGATGGTCAGGGGACATCATGAGGTAGATGCACAAAGCCATTGTTTTCATCACCAGCACTTCATAAACTGGGCATGGTGAATACACACACACAAGGATCAGAAGTTCAAGGTCATCCTTGGCTACAGAGCTAGCTCAAGGCCACCATGGGCTATATGAGACCTTGTCTCAAAAGAAAAAAAATAGACTGCCTTAGATGAATACCTAGCTGATGGTTTATACTGCCAGTAAGACTGAGCCATCATCACAGAATGTCTTTTGCCTGGAACTAAAAAACCAAAGTAGGACTAAAATTTCATGTAGAAGTTTAGCAATGGTGTGTGTGCTCTAGCAATTTTACATAAACTGATGGTATAATATCCTTCAAATCAAATAAGCTCTTAACACATTAAAATATTTAACCTGTGTTTCTCTTCTTCCTTCTTTTTTATTGTTTTTCCTCTTGTTTTAAATCCTTAATTCACTTTCATTTGTTTATTATTTTTTTTTTACATATCTGGCCAGGAAACTTCATGGTGTTATGGTCAACTTGCCGCACAACCGTGTTCAAATCTGTCACCAACAGGTTCATTAAAAACCTGGCCTGCTCTGGGATTTGTGCCAGCCTAGTCTGCGTGCCCTTCGACATCGTCCTCAGCACCAGCCCCCACTGCTGCTGGTGGATCTACACTATGTTCTTCTGCAAGGTTGTCAAGTTCCTACATAAAGTTTTCTGCTCTGTGACTATCCTCAGCTTCCCTGCCATTGCCTTGGATAGGTAATTTAATTTTTAAATGTCTATTTGTGTGTGTGTGTGTGTGTGTGTGTGTGTGTGTGTGTGTGTGTGTTTGTGTGTGTGTGGTGCCTGCAGAGGTCAGGAGAGGGCATTAGATCCCCTGGAACAGGGATTACAGCCAATTGTGAGCTGCTGTGTGGGTGCTGGGAACTGAACTCAGGTCCTCTGGAAGAGCTGTAAATGCTTATAACCACTGGGCCATCTCCCCAGACCAATGTGGCAAGTTATTAAAGAATAAGACTCAATGAGAGCAGGAACATAATATTTAGAACATCTTGTTATATCACAAATCAGTGCAATGATCCCCATTTGTTGTGTCTAGGCCCTTGATTTTAGACAAGGAAATATGCAAACAATAAAAAGTCCTGGTTTTCCTTCTAACTGATAAACCATTGCATTTTTCAAACTGTCACTCATACAAAAAAGTAAACAAATGCTTTAATAGAAAAGCCAAGCTGATAAATTCCTATTTCATGATTCGGAGATATGAATCCCTTGCAGGCATTGGTGAGGTGCACTTGAAGAAGGGAAGTGAATCTTTTCGCTTCCTTGCATCTATTTGTTTTATGACACTAAGTCGGCAAGTTAATTAGGAGGCCGCCTACATTTCCTGCAGCCTCTTCTTAGAGATGTATACACTGACAACAGTGTATACATTTATAATGAGCTGTGTGCGTATCTTACAGTTTATTTCCCAGCATGTAATGGGATGGAAAACAGATAGATAGATAGACAGACAGACAGATAGATAGATGCCTGATTGTGTTTCATAGCAGTGAGCAAGTAGCACCCAGAGCCAGGGCACTCCCACGCATGTTTTTATGTGTGAGAATGGTATGTCTCTAGAGTTGTGATTAGAAGAATGTATCTGTATTCAGAGCCAAAGCATTTTGAGAGCATGCATTGTTCATGTGCAATCTTTTCTTTTCTTTTTTTTAAAGATTTTATTTATTATGTATACAACATTCTGCACACCAGAAGAGGGCACCAGATCTCATTATAGATGGTTGTGAGCCACCATGTAGTTACTGGAAATTGAACTCAGGACCTCTGGAAGAGCAGTCGGTGCTCTTAACCTCTGAGCCATTTCTCCAGCCCCCGCAATCTTTTCTTCCCTGCGGGAAAAATAAGTAGAACCCACTTCACAGTGCCCCAACCTTCTGCGGTCATCCAGGGCCTTGTATCATGTTTCTCTCTGCCACAGAACATTCCCTCACTGTCCACCGCCAGACTCCTCCACAGTGCCACTCTCTCTGATAGTTTCTTAGGTGCTCCGTGCCAAGTACTTCCTCTGGTAGACTGTAATTCTCATAGAGTGCAGTGCGGTGGTGTTCCTGCATATCTGTTCCTGTTAGTAACCCAGGGACACTCACAGGGACACTCACAGCATCGGTTGTCATTCATTCTCACCTGTCCCCGTGAGTGAGGGACTGCCATCAGGGTAGGGAGATCAACGCCGGTGTTGTTTGAGAGCAGAGTTCTGGGCCAAGCTAGTATGAAGAGTCTTGCCATGACTCTGCTGGCTGATGGCAGCCGCTTGGTGATGGGTATGGTTGTGAGGTCTGAGAAACTATTCAATTCTCCCAGATCACTGATGGCATGAAAACAAGGTGCATTTGGAATTCTTCTTTGGTAGTTACAGAATGATCAAATTGTAGCTTGGAAGTGGGGAATCTGCATCTGAATTTTAACAACAAATTAATTTTTCAGGCAGTCGAGACCTGTTGGTTGCTCTCAGAGTTATGATAATTGGCTACTGGGCAGTCACAGTGTGATTGGCTGGCTTTAATTGAAATCCATCATTCACTTAGGTGTCTTCTGCCATGAGCAGCCTTAGAGGCTAATAATCCGCACTGTATGGAGTGGGGTGTGAGTCTGCTTTCCATATGCATGTAGAGTAATTTATTGTGACAGTGGTTTTAAAATTTTCTCAGAGGCTTCTCAATGTAGAACATTTAGAAGTTACCCCTTATCACTATGTTGAAAACCTGTTATCTAGGAGGCTACCAGCTACCACACTGGAGGCTTTAGGGATCTGTGTCCTTTATGTTGAAGGCACTAAAGATTTCATCCTGTTGGCAATAATTCTTAGGCTAGTTATGAAATGAATGTATTTGCTTATTTTCCTGGTAGAGTCTTAAGAATTGCACAAAGACTGAGCTTTTTCTGCATCTTCAGAAGGTTTTTGTTTTCCTTTTTTTTTTTTTTTTTTTTTTTTTTTTTTTTGGTTTATTGGTCTCCCCATGTGCTTCAGAGTCCTCACAACTTAAGGTCTGGCTTCCTGAATTCCTCCAGTGATTTCACCTGTCTGAGTTATTGTCCCTTTCTGCCTACTTTTGGTAATTGGAGATTACCCTGATTTCAAGAGCACTTTTTTCCTGTGAAATGAATTCTGCTTTTATGTCGTGCAGGTACTACTCAGTCCTCTATCCTCTGGAGAGAAAAATATCTGACGCCAAGTCTCGGGAACTAGTGATGTACATCTGGGCTCATGCAGTGGTGGCCAGTGTCCCTGTGTTTGCTGTGACCAATGTAGCTGACATCTATGCTATGTCCACCTGCACGGAAGTCTGGAGCAACTCCTTAGGCCACCTGGTGTATGTTCTGATCTACAATGTCACCACAGTCATTGTGCCGGTGGCTGTGGTATTTCTTTTCCTAATCCTGATCCGGAGGGCTCTGAGTGCCAGCCAGAAGAAGAAAGTCATCATTGCCGCACTGAGGACCCCACAGAACACCATCTCCATCCCCTATGCCTCCCAGCGCGAGGCTGAGCTACATGCCACCCTGCTCTCCATGGTGACAGTTTTCATCCTCTGCAGTGTACCCTATGCCACCCTGGTTGTCTACCAGACTGTGCTCAATGTACCTAACACTTCCGTCTTCTTGCTTCTCACTGCCATTTGGCTGCCGAAAGTCTCTCTGTTGGCCAACCCCGTGCTCTTCCTAACTGTGAACAAATCAGTGCGCAAGTGCTTGGTTGGGACCCTGGTGCAGCTGCATCACCGGTACAGTCGCCGCAATGTGGTTAGTACTGGGAGTGGGGTGGCCGAGGCCAGCCTGGAGCCCAGCATGCGCTCCGGTAGCCAGCTCTTGGAAATGTTCCACATTGGGCAGCAGCAGATCTTTAAGCCCTCAGAGGATGAGGAAGAGAGTGAGGCCAAGTATCTCGGCTCAGCTGATTTCCAAGCCAAGGAGGAACTTGCCTCATGCCCAGAGGGAGAGCAGGAGCCACAGCTGGCACCCTCTGTCCCACCTCCTGGCACAGTGGACTCAATATCTCAGGAGGCCCCAGTAGCCCCTGTGGAACACGGGCTACTCCCTGATAAATATTCTCTGCAGTTTGGCTTTGGGCCTTTCGAGTTGCCCCCTCAGTGGCTCTCTGAGACCCGAAATAGCAAGAAGAGGCTGCTTCCCCCACTGGGCAATACCCCAGAAGAGCTGATCCAGACAAAGGTGCCCAAAATAGGCAGGGTGGAGCGGAAGATGAGCAGGAACAATAAAGTGAGCATTTTCCCAAAGGTAGACTCCTAGCAAGGATTCTAAGTGCCTGGAAGCAACAGGGAGCTGTATATTCCTGCCCTCCCTTTACTCTGGCTGCAAACCACTATGGGGTAATTCCTCCTGTATGGGGCAAAGGGGAAGTTTACATAAAATCCAATGTCCTCTTTATTGAGGGAGTATATATCCATCTATCTTAGTGATCTGCGTCCTTAGTCAAACCCAATATAAGCTGGACAGTATGCAACAGGTCTGAGGGTCCTTCGAGCATATTTTCTGGGGGATTCCTCCTTTCCCTGTGCATTCCAGAGAATCCAAAGGGAGCAGGCCCAAGATAATTGTGGTCTGCAATGGCCACAAAGGTGAAGTTGATACAGTGTTTGTAATTGTTTGTTTGTTTGTTTGTTTGTTTGTTTGTTTTTTGAGACAGGGTTTCTCTGTGTTGCTTTGGAGCCTGTCCTGGAACTCGATTTATAGACCAGGCTGGCCTCTGCCTCCAGAGTGCTGGGATTAAAAGCCTGTGCCACTATGTCCAGTGAAGTGTCCAGTGGTTTTCTAACAACTTTCATTCGATTTTCTGGGTCCTAAAGCGGGGATGACTGGTCCCACCTTACGACAGACATGGCAATGTCTGAGGCAGGCTCTTTGTCTTTGATTATCTTTACACCCTGTTGGTATCACCAAGGCCTCCAACAAATGCACTTGCTTCCACCAGTCACCAGCAGTGCTGCCTAGAAAACACTGCCAGCCCTTCGCTGTGGGTTTTGTTTTAAACTGTATTTGACAGGAGGGAAGATTTGTGGTGGAGAGCAGTCTGAGAAATGCCCACGATGCATAGTCTCCTTTTCTTCCATGTGGTCTGGAACAAAAGACTAGAGTCAGGATAGTGCAATATACTGAGTGACTTATAGGAGTGAAGTAACATAGGTAGATGTTTGGAATTACAAGGTGCTGAAGAAATGAAGCTGACATGGACTGGGTTCTTTGGTGACATTAAGGTTAAAAATACTTGATTAGATCAAGTGATGCTGCCCCAACCCTCTAGTCCCACTTTCAGTGTGTTGTGTGATACTGGTTTCCACAGAAGACAAGCAGAGCAGGGAGAAATATTAATTGCAAGTGCTAAAACAACACCCGCCCTGATTGATCCTCTGCTTCCCAGTGGTTTCAGTATGAGCCATGGAGGGTGGGAGAGAGCGGTCGTCTCAGCAGCTCCGTGACGTGGTCGTGTGTGCGATCCACTGTGGGATTCCTCTCCCAGGCCCAGTTCAAATCCAACCCTTCCCTCTTATATCAAGTGGGTGGCTCTGCTCTCTTTATGTTTTGCTCTTTTTCATGGTACTTGGTGGAGTCAGTCAGGTGCCTTGAGTGGATGGGTGTTCCTCACTGGCAGACTTCTGCATCTCAAAGGCAGTGGTCCTAGCAGCTCCTGTTTTAGCTATGCTGGTCCTTGTCCCCTAGGAGGAAGCTCAGTCGTGTGTAGGCAATTTCCTTTTTGTCTGTTGTGTGATGTCCTGTGATTCCTGAGTGTAAACCCAAATGCCTTCTCCTTGGAGAGGAGGGAACGCCTTGCTCTCTGTGTTTGTCACCCCACAGAGTTGTTTGCTCACAGCAGAAACAGGGGACTGGCTGGCACCCCTCTTGAGGCTCTGCTGCCCCCTGGGCCCTGTGTGCATGCTATTTGTAGCTCTTGACCCTGATACTGTGTTAGTACTGTGACCCTTCAAGCTCATATTTCCAAGCCTTCTCAATTGTGTCAGCTTTTACTAAGGGGAAAAATAGTCTGTCAGAAAATTCTATGTACCCGAGAAGAACCTGTCTAATGTACTTATGTTGGTGTCATCCTGACAGTATGTATGTACGACTTAATACATTTGTAGCAGCAGAGATTGGTTAGCGTTTTCTCATGTGTGTTTGAGAGGGAAGGCTGATGTCTATTAGGTTGGTCACCAAGTGTATTTCTATACTCTGTGAAGAAAAACATTTTAATAAAATTAAAAAAGCTTTTTCTGAGCTCTAATGATTTTTTTGAGCTGTTTTCCCTCCCCGAATGTCTCTTTAAACATGGCCTCAAATGAAAGAGACCTGCTTGTCTCCCAAAAATACAGTCACAGCAGTGTGGAAGCATTGTCCTGTGTTGTTGTTGTTGAATGAATGAAAATTCGTTCCCCAGGAGGAAATGCAGCATTTGAATGAGTGTCATGAAGATGGAGTCTGAGCTGAGCTGATGAGTGTGCTGTGCAGATCGCCCAGTAGGGCTCCATAGCAGTTGTGGAGGAAACCTCATAACTTTCCAGTCTCTGGAGTCCTCAACTTGGACAGGCGAGGAAGCTGCCGTGTGCCTTAGTTTCCTTTCTATAGTGTGGGATGATAATGGTGACATAAACTTACTGTCCCGACTCACATACTTCATCTCTGCTCAGATTTTTAACTGTCTACAGTCAGCTTTGTTGGCCTCATCCATTCTTTTCCCTACATGCTCATATTTTCCCTACAAAGGCCCACTTTCTCTGCTTTCTGCCCTGGGAGAAGTTGTTCCTTCTGGGAGTAATATTTACCCTAGGGACATGGAAACCAGTGAAAAATATTCTTGCTCCCTGCCCTTCTACTTGATAATTATAGAAGACAAATGTCCAGAAGGCTAAAGAGAATGGAATTGTCACTCTGGCGGCTAATGAATGCATCCCTGGGTTGGCTCTTACTCCTTCTATCTTGACTTTTCCAGCCTCATTTATGCACTGAAGGATCACTCCCATATTTTACCTGCACAGAGCTTTGCCTCAAGCTGTGATTTCAGGAAACCCAAGGTATACAAGAGAAAGTTCGTCAGTACACATGAAGGTTAAATGGTGTGACTCGACACCGTCTGGCCCAGAGTAGAGCTTTGTCAATACTGGGCCCTGGGCAATATGTTTTTAAAAAGAGGTCAGGGAATTTATTTACAATGCTATTCAGAGAACCACATTAACTGCTTTCCCAAGTTATTCTAACAACAGTAACCACAATGTGGATACTTCGGGCAGTTCATACACAAAGGATATTTAAATCCCCAGGGAAAGAAACCACAAGCCAGAGTTTTTTCCTTAGACAATTCAGAAGCCTATCATGCCAGTGGCACAGAAGTATAAGTAATAGAACATACAGAGAGTGTCAGGAGTCACCTACAAACCCAGAGTGGCCTAGCTACAGAAAATGAGACTCATGTCTGCAAGGCTGCACTGGAGAGATGAGCCTCCCTCATTACCCTGGCTCTGTGATGCTCAGCTCAGCTTGTGGCACGTCTGTATCTGGGGTTCAGTGGTTTGACATGCATTGCAGATCTGATATGTTCTAAAGAGGAAAGAGTTTACTTTAGGCCAGGTTTTCATGAACGATAAGGATTAATACTTTCATATTTTAGCTGCATCTTTTCCTACATACACATAATGCACTGTGGTCACATTCACCCCGTGTCATTCCCCCACTCCTGCTAACTGCTTTCCTCCCAACTAGTCCCCTCCTACTTTCATGTCTTTTATTTATTTATTTTTGACCCACTGAGTTTAATTAGGGTTGTCTGCATGAGCACGGGTGGAGGATTATTTACCGGAGCACAGGCAACTTACCAGTGGTTACACCACTGGAGAAAAGGACATCACCCTCCCTGACAGATACTGACTAATTCTTCCAGATTGAAGTTTACCAACACAGCGACGTGTGTGCAATTCACACTGTGACAAAGCGATTCACTTCCCTCACGCAGCTACCAAATTTCAGGAGGCTGATGTGCTGTATTAGAGTTCTGTGGTCCACAGAAAAGTGCATCATGGTAAATAAGTGGGGGATGTGTGAATAAATCAGGAATTGAGGTCAGTACCAGCTCCCAGGGCAGCTTCAAAAGCCTTCGTGTGGGAAGCTTTTAGAATAAATGGAAATGAGCTCCGATTCTCCATGTACAATGCTTTGGGAGTTAAAACGGTCCCTCTGCTTTAGGTTCCAACCAGTATTTTCCCTCATTTGTGCCGAGGGCATCAGTTAGTTAATCAGGAGAATAAAGTCCTGGGGCCTTTCATAAATAGGAATCTGTGATATCCAACATGGTTTTATGAAAATCTCCTTGGTTATTCATGTTCTCAGCACTAAGGAGCCTCTTCCTGTCAAATGTAAGTGAATTAATGATAAACGAATGAATAAATAAATAAGAACTAAAAGCCCATGGGGCAGTGGTGAAACCTTTCTGGTGGAAGATCTGCTGTTTAGGAGCATTGTTGCTGGTTTTTATGAATTCCTCTAATGACTTTGGCCAGGGTCAATGGCACAGAAGGTAGGGTTTCATACCCTTCTTTCTTCAACCCCCAAGTCTTATTTGAATCCAGCAGAGACAGTGTAAGTTCTCAAGATGGGGGTGAGTAGTTCAATACTGAGAACCATTGTTCCTGGCCTACACAACAGGCATGAACAATAATTGTTTTTTCAGCTTTATTGATCAGAATTTAGTGATCCCAAATTTACTTCTGTTTTTATTCATTGCAGTTCATAAATAATATAGTATCTGCAAGAGGAGGTGCTAGAATGAACATGAAAATTTCCCATCTGGAGCTCTTTCTCTAGCCACACTTCAAATGCAAAGGTAGAATAAAAATATTTACAAATAATCAACTCTCAGAAAATTCACCTCTCATGTACTCTTTTACTAAAAGCCGCTAGAGGATATTGTCCAGGAGGAGGAGGAGGAACCAACTAGGGGTTAGACCTCTAACCAGGAGTTTGACATAGGGCCTATGACACTGATGACAGCCATGGTGAATCCTGGTGTCACAGAGAAGGTGACCTTAGGATGACAGTGCATAAGGCGTGGAAGCCACCAGTCCATCCTGGAATGGTATGACTTGAGTCGTGTCTTAGTCCGCTTGTGCTCCTATGACAGAATGCCACAGGCTACATGATTTATGAATGAAATATTATTTCTCAGTTTTAGAATAGGGGAGATCAGGTGGCAGTAGGTTCCATTCTCTGAAGAGGTCAGCCCTGTGCTTCCAAGACTGCAAACTTGTTGATTTATCATCTGGAGAGGAGGAAGGCAATGTGCTCACATCGGGGGAGGCAGAAAAGCAGTCACTTTATGTCTGTGAAGCCTCTTTAATATAGGCCATAGTTCCATTCAGAAAGGAAGAGACAGACCTCGTGGCCTAATCACCTTGTGAAGGCCTGACATCTTAACCTCATATTGGTGTTAATATCCAACTCGGTGGTAGTGGCTGTCCTTCCTTCTGTCATGGCATAGCCATTATAATCTGATGGTGGTTCTAGATGTTGTGTTTCAGTAAAGCAAGAGTGAAAAACATGAAAGAGGAAGATGTGAACTCCAGGAAACAAGAAAATGTCCTAGGATGTTTGTCAAGGAATTCCCAAGGTTAAGAGTAGGGGGATATATAGGAAGACTACCCCGGGGGATGTATAGGAAGACTACCCCAGTGGTAGAACACGTGAGAGGTTTTACATCCAGTGCCCAGAACCACAAAAAACAACCCGGGCAAAAAGAAGGCAAGGAAATCAGGCAGGTTGTGTTTCTATTAGGCCCATAGATCAAGCTGCCCAGAGAGAAGGAAAATAGAATTTTCAGGAGGAGTAGTTTCAAAAGAGGGTACCACTCTGGGTTTGGTAGATGGCTTAGGTGGAAACATAGGAATAGCATGAGCTGTTAACGTATGAGGAACTGAGTTTGGATCCTAGGACCCAAGTAAGAAGCCAAGTGTGGCCACACGTGTCTGTCACCCTAGCACTGTGGGGTCCAGAGACAGGATTGTTGCTGGTGCTTGTGGCCCTCAGCCTATCTTGAGGTTCAGTGACAGACCCTACTTTGAAGGAATAAGTTGGGAGAGTTATAGGACTGTAGGGGACACCGTTTACGAGTGAGGGGCACGCATGTGGAACTCCCTTCTTCCCTTTCATCATTGGCTTGCTGTACTTACTCCACGCCCTGCCTGCTGGCTAGGTTGCTCTGTAAGTAAGGCATCTCCCTAATAAACACCCTTATATTTTTACCTGACCCTGTATTGGTAATTCCTTCATTATAGGACACCTGACATCCTCCTCTAGCTGCACACGTGTGTGCATGGGCATGAATACTTTATACACTCATGTGCCTACACCATACACCCGTAACACACCCCACAAACAGAGAGTATAATTCATTCCAGAGGATGACCTCACACCCAATGGTATATGACCAGTACAAACTAGACTCGGTGAGTTATTAAAACAAAACACCCCAAACAAAAAATGAGGACATGATGTTGGGAGTGGTGGGGTGGATATGGAAAGAGCTAGGTAGAGGATTAGGGGTGAATATGATCAAAATATATTGTATGAAATCCTCAAAGAATTAATAAAAATGAATACATGTTACAGAACTTTGCTACTGACCTGGTACATGAAGGCATTTGAGAGATACAGGGGGCTATGATATGAGGAGAACCAAGCAAAGCAAACAATAAGGCAATTATAAAGTCCAGGAGGAGTGAAAGGTGAGAGGAGGAATATAGACTAACTCTCAGGGGTGAATGGTGTTGACGTGTGCAGATCAGTGTAAAACCCAGGTATTGAGTTAACCAAAGAAAGGGTGTTATTGAGAGTATGATGGTGTTATTGAGAGTATGATTGAGAGTTATTGAGAGTATGTTATTGAGAGTAGCAGGAGAGTAAAAATACTTCTGCCATGGCAGAAGGCAACTCAATTCTGTCTAAATGGATGATGCAAAAGGTAGAATATACATATTGTTTAGTGGCAGTATATAAGTGCCAGAGGGTACAGCTCAGGTGATGCAGGTCCTCATCTCTGGAACTATTTATTGGATTTGTTTTAAAGCTTTTTAATTATAATGAAAGTCCATTTACATGTATTGCTTTCATAAAAATAAAAGCTAATGTTCAAAAACTTCTGAATTTTGGAGCACACCATTCAACTAAATCAAGGAAGACCCTAATGTTTCGATATTGAAGAAATGAGGAGATTATGGCTGTCAGGGGCAGAATAAACAA